CCCTTTAATTTTTTTATCTCTTCATTTGCATGCATCTATTTTATAATCATTCATTCTGTAGTAAAACCTGCAGGGTTTTAAATTGAGCTGAAGTCCCAGATGCTTTGGAAGAATTTATGTTGCATAATTGTATTGGTTTCCCTGAAAACAAACAGTAATGCAGGACTTAAATAGTCTACCCATGGGAAGAGTCAAAATCTTTCTTATACTCCTACCTGTTGGGCTTAGAAATGGCTCATTGGGTGAAGTATTTACCACACAACTGTGAGGACTGGAGTTCAGAGCCCCCCACACATAATAATATAAAAGCAGGGCAGACATGGTAACCTGTCTATAATCTGCAGCTCTCATGAGGAGGACTGGTTATTCCCCAGGGCCAGCTGTATTGACACTTACTGAATCAGTGAGACATCTGCCTCGGTAAATAAAGTGGAGAGCAATTGAAGAAAATACTACCTGCATACATATGTGCCTATACACATGAGAACACACGCACATATAAAAAATATTTCTGGGGGGGGTGGGCTGGTGAGCTGTCTCAGCAAATAAGGGCTCTCTCCTGCAAGCCTGATGATAGAAATTTGGCATTGGAAGGAAAGAAACCGGTCTTGCAAAGTACCTTCTCTTCTCCACAGGCAGCCCTTCCACCCATATGAATAATAAAAAGAAGTTATCTACTGTTTCTTATTGACTTATTGTGAGGGGACAATTCAGAAAACAAAGGGAATGGAAAAACAAAGGAACAAATTAAGGAGATAGTGGCCACTTTCTGAAGAAGTCACCAAAATATTTGTGAAGTAACTTCATGGCATACACCTGCAGGAACAGCTGACTAATGAGTTGAAAGTAACAGAACTGTGGGTTCATCAGAGAAAGGAAAAATTGTCTTCGTTTCACAGGAACATTATGATTGGCTCTAAGTGTTGAGTTTTGAGTTTCTTATTCATTATTGGATAAGAAATGATATGCAAATTTAGCAGCTTTAGACAATACCTGTAGTTAGGTACTTTCCCATTGCTGTGATAAAACACTCTGACCAGAAGCAGCTTCTAGAAGAAAGAGTTTATTTTGGCTTATGGTTCCAGAGGGATGAGAGTCCGTCATGGTGGGGAGGCGTGTCTGCCAGCGGCGGGAAGCCGAGAGCTCTTTAATTGAAAGCATGAAGCAGAAAGCAAACTGGATGTGGGGTGAAGTTATGTCTATTCAAAGCCCACCAGTGATGCATTTCCTCTAGCAAGGACGCACCTTCTAAACCTCTCCAAACAGTGCTATCAGCTGGAAACCAATTGCTCAACTATCTGAGCCTATAGGGTGCACTGTTATTCAAGCCACCACCATGAACATTTCTGAACACAGGAGTCACTCAGATAGATGACTCTGGTTTCAAATATTTTTTTGAGGTTGTGTGGAGAGATCTGCCTCATCTATAGTCTCTGTTGAATCACCTACTGGGTAATGAAGTTTTTCTAAGCTTAATGTGAGATGGACAGGCTTGAGGTTCTTTCTGGTTATTGGCTGGACACTAGTTCCCTACAGTGTGAACCTCTGTGTATATGACCCAGCTTCTCCCAGAACAAAATAGTCTAAGACACACACCCAGACACCCAGACACCCAGACACCCAGACACTCAGACACACACACACACACACACACACACACACACACACACACACACACAGAATTAGGACAGAAAACATATTAAGAACTGTGGTGATATTTTGTTTGTGATCTAACAAATAAAGCTTACCTGGAGATCAGAGTTCTGAGTTAGCCACTAGTTAGCCACAGAGGCCAGGCAGTGGTGGCACACACCTTTGATCCCAGCCCTTTGGCTCTGAAGCCTTTGATCCCAGTACTTGGGATCACATTCCTTTAATCCCAGCAGTAGGGAGGAGGAAACAGGAAGTGATATGACTGAGCGGAGAGAGGAATATAAGATGGGTGTAGACAGAAGATTGGCCCTTTTTGGTTTGACGAGCCGTGGAGGTAAGGTGACTTTGACTGCTCCTTACTTCTCTGATATTTTAACATTTACCCTGATATCTGGCTCTGGATTTTTATTATTAAGACTAATTAAAATTTGTTGTACAAAGAATCAACTCTCTTTGTGACATTACGTCAGATCTCTACACAGTGTCCCAGTGGAAATGTACGAATGAATGAAGGATCTTTATCCGACACACTCACTGATGTGCATACCTCAGGATCCAGACACTCAGGGCTGAGCTGTGGACTACCCAGTTTAGCCTCAGATTCACCCTGTAGCAGAGGATGACCTTCAGGTTCTGACACTCCTGCCTTCATTTTCCTGGTGCTGGGCATATAGGCAAACATACCTGTATCTATCTGGTCTATGTAGAACTGGAGCTTAAACCAAGGATTCCACCAGCTGATTTTGGGGATCTGAGGCATGGCCAGGCTGGGCATTAGCTCAGAGCTCAATAATGCAGGGTATGAGGATGGGTGGGTTTTGGGTAAGGAAGATCACCTGAGTGATTTCTTCCACCTGGAGTACACACACACACACACACACACACACACACACACACACACACACACACACACACACACACACACACACTGGCATGGTGCTTAGTGAGAGAAAAAGAAGGTAAGTTGCTGATTAGCTGCATGTTTTAGTGCTGTAAAATTATGAAGAATAGTTCAAAAAAAAAAGAAAGGAAAATGTGATTCTTTGAGCACAAACAGACTTTGGTCCATGTTTTCAGTGATCTCAATGTTTTCTCAGACAAGGTGCAGTTACCACTAGTTCAGACACAGTAAGGACTTCCAGAGAATTGGGTTGATCAATGGTCCCAGGGTCTGTCTGTGGCTGCAGTGGGAAATCAAAGCTGCTTCAGGCCTTTCTGAGGAATTAGTCTTTTTCTTTAAACACTTCCTCATGTTTTCTTGACCAGCATCTCTGTGTGCTCATCTTTCATGTGACTCAACAAGATTCTGCAAGCCCGGCTTCCCATCACAACCTCTGAGGCCCAGTGTTCATGGCACGTAATGTCGTTCACAGAGATTTGAAGAGAGATCTCACTGGCTGCTAATTAGGAACCGAACGGGCTGACCTATGGAGTAAGAGTGGAAACCAGTTTGCTGGTTGCTTGGAAGCTTTGTGGCAGGGTCTCTGAGGAAGTTACATTATATAAAAATGCATGGTTTCTTTTTTTAAAAATATTTTTATTATTTATAACAATTTTTACTTTAAATGTTTTATTATATTTTTATTTTATTTGCTTTGGTGTTTTGCCTACATGTGTGTCTCTGAGAGGGTGTCAGATTTTGGAGTTAGAGACAGTTGTTAGCTGCCATGTCGGTGCTGGGAATTGAACCCAGATTCTCCCTTTGGAAGAGCAGTCAGTGCTCCTAACTGCTGAGCCAGCTCTCCAGTTTGTCTTGATCATATTCTTCTTCTCACTCAAGTCCTTCCAAATTCTGTCACCCACCCCATCCACCCCCCAAAAAAACCAATAGAACAAAAACAGCAAGAACAAAAACCGATTAAATCAAGAAAACAAAATAAAATACAACCTAAAAACAAACCAAACAAATAAAAACACCCCACCAAACTGTTACCAAATAAAATTACACACAAAAAGTGTAGAATCCATTATAATTTGATCAGGTACTCCTGAATATGATGAGGCCTGTCATGGAGTACACCCAGTGTTACTCCTTTGAAAAAAACTTGTTTTCCCTTTCCTCGAAGGAGTAAATGATAGCTCTGTTGTTAACCTTTGCCTTAGTGACCAGGTTTTCATTCACTCATTCATTCATTCATTCATCCATCCATCCATCCATCCATTCATTCATTAAATATATAACTAAATATAATAAGATAAAACAAAAACTGAAGCTGAACAAGACAAACTAACAGAAGGAAAGGAACCAAAGAGAAGGCACAAGAGTCAGAGAGTCACTGGTTCACAAGCTCAGGAATCCCATAAAACACTCAACTAGAAGCCATAATACATACTCAGAGAAGTTGGTGCAGACCCATGTAGGCCCTGTGTATGCTGCTTCAGTCTCAGTGAGTTCATATAAACTTTGCTTATGTGGATTTAGACGCTATTTTCTTGTTGTCCTCATCCCCCCTGGATCTTCCACTCTTTCTGCTTCCCCTTCTGTGGCATTGCCAGAGCTCCAGTGTACGGGATTTGATGGAGACTTCCCATTGACCTAATAGTGTTTCAAGGTCTCTCACTCTCTGCATGGTGTTTGGCTGTGGGTCTCTGTTGTTCCCATCTGCTGCAGGAGGGAGCTCCTCTGATGATGGCTTAACAAGGCATTTGTAGAAAGGACTCTAATGGAGACAGGCAATTAAGTTATACATGGTTTCTTACAATAAGTAGTGAGTGAGTGTATGGACAGTCATTATCTGCTTACCTCCTTGCATGTAGGAAGAAAATGATGAGAGACTGTTATAATTTCCTATCTTGTTGCTGGGATAAATGCCCTGCCTAAATCAACCTTAGAAATAAAGGTTTTCTTTTGGCTCACAGTTCAAAGTGTGAGCCCAGTGTTGAGGAGGTAGAGACAGGAGGATCCCTGGGGCTGGTGGGCCAATATACTCAACCGATGAATCCTTGACTCAAAAAATAAAGTGGACTGAGGACACCTGTATACACACACACACACATACACACACACACACACACACACACACACATCTCAGAATTATTTTGGATAAACACTGACTTTGCATTTTCTCTTCCCGTTGGCCAACATCATTTTCATAAGCACATATAGGGGGGAGAATTACTTACACAGTGCCAACTTGGCTAAGACAAGCTCCTCCCACTTTCAAAGCCTTTGTCTCATTGATATGTGAATGTCAGGAAATTTCCAGTTCTTTTCTGATCAGGACTATGCTTCATTCAGATGCTGCTACATCCAGAGAAAACAAGTTTGAATAAAGCCATTATCTGTCCTCTAGAGAGAAGAGTGAGGGTGGAGATGTTCAGTTCTCTTTGTTTCCATTTACTTTCAGGGGAAGGAGGCCTTAGAGAAACCATTCTCATGCTGGAAGACTGGATGATTAAGTGAAGGATGCCATTTGCAAATGACCTGACTTCTGGATCTACAGGCACCCACTCCGTGATACTTCCCTGCATTGCCATTAAGGTACAGGGCAAACAATTTGCACTTTATTGGAGTTGTATTTTGACCTTCATCCCCACGTGATTCCTGTGGTGCCTCAATGTCCTCCTTAATGTGTTTCTGGGTTATTTTCCCTTCCAAAATTCATTTATAGGACTGAAGACTTTATATGAAACTATTTTCTTTAAATTATTAAAATTTAGTAAATGTAGGAAATTAAAAATTACAAGTAATCCAATTTCCCAATGAAGCTAACATTTTAAATTTTGGTTTATAATCTCAAGTGTCTCTTCCCCCATCTCCCAGGGCCCGTTAGAATAGCAATGACTACAGAGGAGGATGCCTATTCTAGAGCAGCTATAGCATTCATCATGCCCCAGGACTCTCATTCCAGCCAGCAGAATCTAGACAAGCCCTGTACTAGTCATTTTTCTATGACTGTGATAAAACACCATGGCCCAGGCAACTTACAGAAGGAAGGTTTTATTTGGAATAACATTCTGGAGGGATAGGAGTCCATCATGGTGGGAGAACATTGGAGAGATACATCTTCAACTACAAGCACAAAACAGAGAGAGTGAACTGGAAATGACAGGAAGCTTTTGAAGTCACAAAGCCTACCCCCAGCAACACACTTCCCCCAGCAAGGCCACACCTCCTAATCTACCCAAGTAGCACCACAGACAGGCGGACCAACCATGCAAATGCCCTAGACCACCAAAAACCCCATCTCTGACAAATCAGGGTTGAGACCAATTATACCTCCATGTCTTAGCCCACAAACAACTTACAAGAAGTAAAAATTGGGGTCAAGGATGTGGCTGGATTGGTAGAGGGTTTGTCTAGCATTCTCAAAACCCTGGGTTGGATTCCTTCCTCCTCATGAACCATGCATGACTGCACACTCCCATAACTTGAGATCTTGGAAGGTGGGAACGGGAGGATCAGAACTTGAAGGTCATCTTCTGCTGAATAATAAGTTCCAGGGCAGCACAGGGCTACATGTGACCCAGTCTTTTTTTTTTTTTTTTTTTTTGGATGTACAACTCTTTTTTTTATTTTTATTTTTTATTTTATTTTCCAGTTTAAATTTAGATAAGAAACGAGGTTGCTTCACAAGTCAGTTCCAGGTCCCTCTCCCATTCCCTCCCCTCCTCCCGTGCCCTCCCCCAACTCCCTCCCCCCCCCGTTATCCCCTCATTCCACCAGGGAGGGTGAGGCCCTCCATGGGGGTGTCCATAGTCTGTCATTTCATATAGGGCAGGGCCTAGACCCTTCCCCAAGAGTTCAGGGTGAGAGTGCACCTCACATTGTTCTATGGGAGTCCAAAGTCCATGTGTATACTTGGGATGGGTATTGATCTGCTGCCCAAGGCTCAATAGATTCCCTAGGCCTCCTCACGGACACCCAGATTCAGGGGGTCTTGATCAGTCCCATGCTGGATTCCCAGGCTGATGCCTGGGATTCAAGAGTTAACCTTTGTCTGGTCAGCTGTTTCTGGGGGTTAAACCAGCCCAGTCTTAATCCCTTTGCTTTACATGTTACAGAATCCTTTGAGTATACACCCATGAATGGTATAGCTGGGTCATCTTACAAAAGAAAAAAAAAGTCTTGAGGAGATAGCACAGTTTGTAAAGTGTTCCCTTTGCAACTCTGACATCCTGAGATAGAGCTCCCAGAAGCCATGTTAAAAAGCTTAGTCATAGTGGTCTGGGCTTGTAACCCTGGCACTCGGGAGATAGTGGCAAGCACATCCACAGACCTTCTTGGCCCACTTCTTGGTGAGTTTCAAGCCAGTGAGGGAGCCCTTTTCCAAAAATAGGGTGGTGAGCAGTTGAGGAAAGACATCTGAGATTGAACTCTTGTCATCACATGCATGTGGGAGCAAATATTTGCATACATTCAAACACAAGTACACAGTGGGAGGGGGAGGGGGAAGTGAGGGAAGGGAGAACACTAGCCCTCCTTCTTAGAACAAAGAAAGACACAATACTGCACTCAAATGGTGGTAGATGTAAGAAGACACAACATCTGTGGCAACTGCCTTTGTTGATTTTGTGCTTATTGTTAGACCTCTCCAGGCTGCAATGTGTTACTGCTTTAGGGCTTTACATATTGAAATCATGTGTTTTCACTTGTGATCAGGAACCCAGGGGAAACAAGGGAGGGCATTTACTGAGCTAGGGCACAATTAAGATTTTATATTGTCATGTCTCTTTGGTTTGTTGTATTTTGTCAAAAATGTGTCTGGTCTTTATTGTTTTTTATTATTTTCAGCTGTCCTAATTATTTCTCTCCTTTGATTTTAATTCAGCTTTCAAAGAAAAGCTGTCTTAGCAGGTGATTATAATGCTTTTTTTCTTCCTTAAACCCTTTCAACAATAATTTCAAAAGATGTCTAAAGAAATCATTATTTTGACATTAACTTGTAGCATATTTATGACCTCACTGTGGAAAGTCACCTGTGTTACTAATGCTGATTTCTGCTGTTTATCTTGTCGCTTGTGCCCAAAAGACAGGAAGTAGTTTTTCAAAATCTTTCATTGCCCCCATAAGTTAAATGCTAAAGAAAGATCCATAGTAAGATGGATACACTTCAGAGAAAGCAATCTAAACTAATATATAATGTGTGTTGGATAGTTTTCTGTCAACTTATTACAATCCAGAGTTATCTGAGAGGTGGCAACCTCAATTAAGAAAATACCTCCATAGAATTAGATTGTGCAAAAGCCTGCAGGGCATTTTCTTAAATAGTGATTGATGGAGAAGGGCCCAGCCCATTGTGGGTCCAGTCATCCCTGGGACCGTGATTCTGGGTTATGCAAGAAAGCATGTTGAGCAAACCATGTGGAGCAAGCCAGTAAGCAGCATCCCTCCATGCCATTTGCTCCTGCTTCCATGTTCTGCCCTGCCTGAGTTCCTGTTTTGACACCCTTTGATAATAAACAGTGCTGTGGAAGCATATTCCAAATAAACTCTTTCCTCTCCAAGTTATGGTGTTTTATTACAATAGAAACTCAGATACAATGCTTGCTTAAACTTTTAATTTTCATGAGTTGGACTTTATTAATGTTATATTTTAATATCTGAGATATTAAAACTGATGGGGAAGAAGAAGAGTGACTCGAGAGGTCAAGTGCAGAATAAGGTCATCACCAGCTCCCGGGGCCTAATGGCCAGTTTCCTGCTCATCTTTGGGAAGTGAAACAAGTACCATCTCTTTACTAAATAATAGCCTGGTTAAATCCATTCTGTTCTGTCACACAGACCTGTTTTGACAATGCCTTCTGAATATTTGTGTTTATGCCCATATGCCAGTGCTGTCCTCAACACTGGCTGGAGAAACATCTCTCTGCAGTGGGCAGCCATCAAAGCAGAGACTTCTAAGTGGTCAAAGTGCTGAGAATGACCACTTGTGGGCACCCCTGGAACCGGAGGATCATGTTAGATGTCCCACATGTGGGCGCCCCTGGAATCTGGAGAATCACATCAGATGTCCTGCTTTACTGCTCTGACTTATTCACTTCACATACAATCTCTTACTGGATCCCAGTCTATACCAGCTTCCTGTAAGGCCTGCAACCCTTCTGTCTGTGCCGCTCAGAATGCTGTGGCCACTCCTGGCTTCTTACACTGGCGCTGAGAAGTAAGACTTAGGGTGTTGTGCTTGTACAGCAAGCACTCTTCCTGATAGAGCTATTGTCCATCTCAGCTTACATTCTTAATGTGACTGATCAAGACCACTTTGTAAGCGGGGGAGGGGGGGGGGGGGGGAGGGGGTCCTGGTAGAGGCCCACTGAGCTTGGGTGTGCTTCAGAAAACGGGGCTGCCATCTCTCAGGAGAGTGTGAGAGTTTAGGAGTATTATATGTGAAAGTGCCGTCATGACGGTCCCAGGATATGTACATTTTCATTCTTTCCTTTGGACACATTTTAACTCCAAGTCATTTCCACAGCCTAAGTCAATGAAAGGAGTATGTGGAGTCCTCACAAGAGATACTGTAGAGATGAGGTACAGACCCCTCATATGTGAAAGTTGTTGCTAGAGGAACAGCACAGTATATGAAAGTAATCTGCGACCCAGAGTTTCAAAATGAAAAAAAAAAATGAACTGGCTTAGCTCCAGCTTTAAACACAGGCCTGCACCAAACTTTTTCTCTTCGGCCTCCAACCAGCTCCCGAATCATGACACAGAGCACTCAAGAGGCAGAAGCAGGTGTATCTGAGTTCAAGACCAGCCTGGCCTACACAGCTAGTTCCAGGGCTACACAGAGAAACCCTGTCTCCAAAAAAGAAATCATATGTATTATTAGTTATGAATGCTCAGCTTTATCTTATGTTTTCCCCACTAACTCTTATACCTTAACCTGTTTCTCTTCATCTAATTTTGCCTCGGAGATTTTTACCTTCTGAGGTTGCCTCGTTTCTGGCTGGGGGCATGACCCTCTCTTTCTCCCCAATCACCCCCTCCCCCCATTTTTCTCGCCTCCTATTTATACTCTCTGCTCACCAGCCTCACCTATCCCTCTCCTGCCTAGCTATTGGCTGTTCAGCTTTTCAATAGACCAATCAGGTGTCTTAGGCATGCAAGGTGAAACAAAGGCAACTCACCTTTATATAGTTAAGCAAGGCAGAATAAACAAACATAACAAATCTTTACATCGCTAAATATCCCACGACACAGGCCTTCAAATGGAAGGTAGCCTTCAAACCTTTGCCAACCAAGGGCATGTAGACAGACAGAGGCTGTGTGCAACCCATGTTAGCATTTATATCCGCACAGGGTTACCTCCCATGCCATTGCCAGCTGGAGGCTGCCGGGCACAGGAAGGGGCCCTCACTAGTACATGCATCTGTACCTCCCACGCCACAGCCTACTGGGGACTGTTTAGACGCGAGTGATGGTTCAAGTCAACTACCTCATCTGTTCTTTGTGCTCTCCTATGCCAAGAAGGGCTCTACTGTGACTCATGGAGCTGTCCCATGACCAACATCTTCATGCCAGTTTGCCTACTTAGGAAATGC